TCAGCTGTAAACCACAGAAGCTGCGTCATCTTAACCCAAAACAGAAACGAGTCTGGTCGTAGGACTGAAGAGTTGAACTGGCTGGGTGCTGGACTCTGACCGTGTCACGGGGCTGGCGGGCACCGGGTCCCTCCCCACCCCCCCTCCCCGCCCTTCCCCCAGCTTCCCTGCTGTCCTCCTGTGCCTCACGGCCAGGCAGCCTGGCCCCCCTCCGCCCCACCCCTGCTGTGGCCTCAGGAGCTGGAGTCCCAGAACAGGGCCGGGGCCTCCTTGTCCAGCCTGGGCCCTGTGCCCAGCTTCTGAGGGGTGGCCGACCGGGCTCCCATGACAACTATTGTGGCCGAGGCCCGAAGGTAGGGGCGGGGAGGGGAAGGGCTGGTGCCTCAAAGGACAGGGCGGCACAGCCCCAGGAGACCGGGGATGTCTCCTCCACAGGGCCTGGGAAGAGTGTGTCCCGCTGGTCACTCTGATGCACCTGGAGGACAGAAAGTGGCCGTGCAGGGTGGACGGTGGAGTCAGGCATGAGCCCTGAAGTTGTCTGCGGGGACGTTGGAGTGTTTGCTGTGTCCCAGGGTCCGAGTCGGGACCCACTGGGTGTGTAAGAGACCCGGCTGGCTGCCCGGCTCTCCTGGGCACACCCAATACGTGGGTCCGCAGCCCCAGAATGAGGGCTGTGCGCCCCGTGTCCCTTGTCACCACAGGTCCCCGAGGCCCCAGTTTTCCAGGTCTGTGCCATGGGTGACCTCAAAGAACAGAACCCCTATTCTTGGCCCGATGTGGAGATGGGCAGCAGCCCCCCATGTCTGCCCTTGACTTTGCCCTGGAACTGAGGGGCTTGAAGGCAAACCTCCCTTACCCACTGTCCTGCAGGACTGAGGCATTCTGGGAGACTTGTCACAGTGGCACTGTGGCCTTCTCCATCCCGCTGGGCCAGGGCAGGACAGGCCCAGAGGTGCACGGTGGGGCTGCTCCTCTCGCACTGTCACTGCCGGGCCGGTGGGCTGGGCGGAGCGGCTGCAGCACACAGCCTCCTGTGGCGGAGACCCCGGCCCCACCCCCTGCCCAGTTATGCGGCGGGGGAAGGGGCCTGGGGGGTTGCCGCAACAGCAGGTGAGGGGCCCGGTGTCCCTTGCTGTCACTGACCCACGCGTGCTGGCCTGGCCCCGGCCTCCCCTCTGCCCAGTCCACGGCTTCCTGTTTGCGACCCACGCTTGCACCGGGGCCTTGCCAAGGGCTCAGCCCAGGCAGCCGGCAGCCCCACCTCCCTGTCGGAGACCGCAGGTCTCAGAGAGCCTGCAGGGGCCAAGCCTGGGTGTGGCATGAGACACACACCGCACCGGTGGGCCAGGCGACAGCCAGGCCGCACGACAGGGAGGGTGTGCAGGCCACCTGGCTCCGGGCATGCTGCCCGTGAGGGTGCCTCCTCCCCGATGCTAGTGTGGAAGCTGACCTAGGCGGTGGCGTTCTAGGTCCTGGCTCCGCCCCTTCCCGCTGGGCCAAGGCAGACCACTCACTCGACCCCTCCGAACGAGCCGCCCCTGTAATCCGGGGACGGTCACAGCACCGAGCTCCTGTAGGTAAAGCAGGTGGAACACTCGAGACCCCTGGTGAACGTTCCAGAACACACAGCTGTCGGCTGCTGTCGGTCCAGGCTGTGGAAGCTCACAGTCCAGGGTCAGAGGCCACAGTGCCCTGTGGGCCACGTGACCTCTGAGGTTGATGATGGTGGTGGTGATGGCGGTGATGGTGATGATGATGAGGGTCTGGGGTGTGAAGGTGATGATGGTGGTGATGGTGATGATGATGAGGGTCTGGGCTGTGGTGGTGATGATGGTGGTGATGGTGATGATGATGAGGGTCTGGGGTGTGATGGCGATGATGGCAGGGATGGCGGGGGCATCTCTCAGGACCCCCTCCCTGTCCCTGAGGCCCTGTCCCAGAGCAGAAGTGCGGCTGTGTCTGGCAGCCAGAGGACAAGGAGGGCCTGTGCAGTGGGAGTTGTTCACAGAATAACCGGAGACAATACCCCTGCCAAGGGTCCCCTTCCTCTTACGCAGAGCGGTGGTCGCGGAGGGGAGTTCCTTGTGTTACGTGCCCACCGGGGCAGGTTGCAAACTCGGTGAGCCCCGTGCTGGCCGGCACCCGCCCCTCCCCTCCGCTGTGCGAAATTTCATCGGTCTCATCCCACCATCTGAGAACCGCTGGCTAAGTGGCGGAGCCTAGAAGCGGCCCCCTTCCGGAAACATTGTTTTGCCTGGTAAACGGGCGTTTGTACACACGCACGTTCCCTGCCCACTCTCTCTACTCCCGGAACCGGGAGCCTCTGACCCCGGCCAGGACCTGCACCAATCAGCTCTCAGCACCAGCAGTTCCCTAGACAACCGGCGCAGAGCTGCCACATGGGGCTTCAGCAACAAAAGCAGTTAAGAGTAATAATAACCCTGAACAGCCAGTTCCCAGGGCCCTTCAGTGGCTTCGCGAGGTATTCTGCTTAACGCCGCAAAGAGTTCCCAATCCCATGTACTCTTCCAGGGCCTGGCACGTGTGTGGCCCCACACGGGTGCCCCAGGGTGGGCCCGGCCCGGCCCATGTGCTCCCTCCTCGCAGGTGGGTGACCGCCGGGGCCCCTGGTGGAGGTCAGCGGTCCCTGGTTCCATCCTCATCCCGGCCCCAGGGGTTCTGAGCCCCGGGGGCATCTGCCCCGTCCCCTCTGACTGCCCTCCTGTGCCCACACGTGGGGCATGTGGCCGGGCTGCCAGGCAGGCTCGGTCAGCGACGACTGCAGGTCAGCACACCTGCAGGACGCAGCTTCCGGGGTGCGGCCGGAGGAGGAGGACACGGCACATCTGGGCTCGCTCGGTGCGGGTGCCAAGCACGGGGCAGGGCGTGACCTTGGGCTGGTCCCCGAGCTGGCCGGGTGAGGGCCCGGTGCCCACAGCCCATGCCAACGGTGTGCGGTGCGCACCGGTGAGCTGACTGCACAACAGGTCGTTTAGATGAGGCCAGCAAGCGTGTGCGGCGGGTGTCCTGCAGGAGTTAGACGGCAGGGCCGACAGAGAGAAACCAGGCCAGTCCCCAGCCTGGAGCCCCGTAGGGGGCAGGGGGACTCAGACCCGTCTGCCCCCTGGGTCCGGCAGTGTGGTTAGGCAGTTCTAAGCCGGGACAGGGGGAAGGGGGGTCGCCACTGGCCCGGATGCTCCTCCTGGCCCTGCCACTGAGCAGGTGTGAGGTGGCCTGGGCGGTCCTCACCGTCACCACCCACAGACTCGCTCAGTCGGCCCACCTCCGCCGTGGAGCCGGAGGAGCCCAGACGGCCAGGCGTGGTGGCCCAGGGGAAGGACTCAGTAGATGTCAGTGCAGATGAGGCTGCGATGCCCCGCAAAGACGCCAAGGCCTCAGGGTGGACGGACACCCGAGGTCCTGAGCAGGGTCTGGGGGTGCTGCCTGAAGGGGGGCAGGTATCAGAGGGGCCCATCCCCCGGCTGGACGCAGCCGGCCTGCAGACGGGCAGGTGCACCCTCCCCCGGGGGCCTGAGGGCCCGGCGGGTGCATGTTGGCGAGGGGTGGGGGTGCTTAGACCAGGGCCCGGCGCAGGCACTGTGAACACTCGGTGTCGGCGACGACAGCGGCGCCCCAATGGCACTGTCCTCAGGAGCGAGCGGCGGAAGAGGGTGGAGGGGCAGGTGGGAGCCGGGTCTCAGGGGCCCCAGCCCCGGAGTCTTTGGGGCGGTGTTAGTGCCATGACGAGTGAATCCCTCTGGTGCAGGTAACGTCGTGCCTCAGGAGTTTAACCCCCACTAACTTCAGGGGCTCCATCCTCTGGGGCTGGGGGCCCCCAGCATTGCACAGGGAGAAGCAGAAACGCAGGGTAGGGTGGGCACAGTGGCCTCCATCAAAGCCAAGCTTGGAAGGGACCCCCGCCCCCTCCCAGGAAATGTGCTCACATTCCATTGGTGGGAAACAGTCACATGGCCATGCTTGAGTGCAAGGGGTGCTGGGAAATGTAGTCCTGGATGGAACCTCTGTTCCTCCCAACCCTCCCAGGCAACTCCACTCTGCTTAGAAAGGGAACATGTGTTTTTTGCTGAACTCGCTGCTTCTGGGCATACAAGCAGCCACAGGGCCGTTCCCCCTGGAAGGTGGGGCCAAGGGTTTGAGCCGCAGAGCGGGTGCGGGAGTGTCAGGGAGACTTCAGGCCGTTTTCCCCGAGGCCAATCCTCTCCCTTGTCTGCATTTTTCCCAGGGCTCGGGAGGACGTTGTCTGGGAGGCTCTGCTCAGGAGGGAAGTAGCTGCACAGTAAACCCTGCTCCGCCGCCGCCGCCGCCGCCGGGTGTCGTCTGGGGTTTGTTCCCGGCAGCGCTGAGCTATCCGTTAGGTCTAATTACATCGCTCATATCACTTCCCGGGAAATTTACATCTAAATCTGCTGAATCAGGGAAGCAAGCAGAGAACTTAATTAGCAACGTTAATCATGGTTGTTTGGTGGTGGCTGTTGTGTTTTTTGTTTTTTTTTTTTTTAGGAGAAAGCAACCATGATCAGGAAAATAACAATGAACATTTTTCTTCCCGAAGGCCTTCATCCGCAGGCGCCCGGATCCGCGGCCGGGCTCGGCGGCGTCCGTGGAGGACGGCCCTGCCCTGGCGGCTCCCGCACGCCTGCGGGCGGCTGCCGCGCCGTCCAGCTGGAACTTGGGTGGTCCCATCGTCTTTGCAGGCCACTTCCTCCTGCATCCCCCGAGCTGCCGACCCCAGGGCTCTGCCTCCGTTTGGGACCAGCGCTCCCGAACCCCCTCAGCCTCAGGGTTCATAGGCATTCCCCGAATTCTGCAAAGGTGGACCCCAGAACGAGGCCTCTCGCCGTCCTCCCGGATCTGTCCCCCGGAGAGTGGGTCTCCCACGGCCTAGGTCCGAGCCACATGCAGCCCGGCCAGCCTCGCGGGGGCCGGCGTGCGGGGACCCTGGCTTCTCTAAGTGATGCTTCTCCTCCCTCTCTGCGCAGAAACCCGGGCGGACCGCAGCAAGAAGCTCTTCCGGCACTACACCGTGGGCTCCTACGACAGCTTCGATGCCTCCAGGTAGGATGCACCTCCTTCTCGGCCAGGCCCCCTGCGGTGAAAGGGGCGTGGGTGTTGCCGAGGCCCTGGGCCATCTTGCGTGGCGCGCTGGGGCCCCTTGCTGGTTCCCCCTGTGTGTCCACCGAATCCCCCTCACCGTCGGCCGGGGTGAGGGAGGCTACCGTGTTCCCCAGAGGACCTGCCCGAGGGGCGGTGTCTGTGGGTCTGTGTCGGGGTCCGGTGGGAGCACCCCTTGGGGCAGCCCGAGGGCCGTGTTTCCAGGGGGAGAAGGCCTGGCTGTGTTTTCAGGGAGCAGTACGGGTGTCCCGGAGGGCGGCCCTTGGCCACAGGAACTCGGGTGGCACCAGGCAGGCACTGTGGCCCCCCCCGGGAATGTTGAGGCGCCACAGCTCTGGGTTTCCACCTCGTCTGCATTTTCCGTGGTCATCCCCGCCGCTGAGTGGATGGTTTTGTGCGAACGAGGGTGACTCATCCCCTTGCCGGGCAGGACACCGGCAGGCGGAGCCTTTGAGCACTGGGAGGGGTCGAGTTCCGGCTGGTTCCGGCAGAGAACCCGTGAGGCTGGGGCTGGGGAGGCAGGCGTGTGTCCCACCGGCAGGGATGGTGCCCTGTTCCGGGGCAGTGGCCCCAGGAGCCGCTGGGAAGCAGGCAGTGTTCCTGGCCAGCGTTCCCGCGGCCACTTGAGCTTCTCCGGCTCTCATCGTCCCCACGCACAAAGTTTCTCCGTTCCCTCGTTTCACTCCCAAACACCAGGGCGCCTACCTTGGGCGCCGGATGGGCGTGGACAAGACCAGACAGACAGCGGGTTCTCAGTGGGTGGCGGCCTGTGCGGGGAAGGGAGGGACAGGCGGGCTCTGCTCCCCGCCCTGCTGGACGGGTCCTGGGGCAGGGGGGTCCCCGTCCGAGCATCCCACCAACCCCGTCTTCCCCAGAGCGTGTCGAGGCTGGAGAAGGGTCCGGACACCCTCCGCTGGGTGCTGCCTCGGCGTCGGATCTGGTTTGGTTTGTGTTACTGAGTCGGAGTTCACGTGACCTGAAGTTACCGTCTCCAAGTGCACGGTTCAGCCGCACTGAGTGCCGTAGCCTCTGCCTGTTCCCCTGGTTTCACCGTCCCCAACAGAGACCCCACACCCGTCGGCGGTCCCTGCCCGCCCTCCCCCAGCCCCGGCGGCCCCCAGTCTGCCCTCTGGACTGTCCCCACAGACGGAGTCCTGCTCAGAGTAACATTCTTAGGGCTCGTCCGTGCTGTGGCAGGTATGAGGGCTTCGCTCCTTTTGTTTCTAATGTTTTCTTGTGGCAAAGCATGGGTGACATGAAACGTGCCGTTTGTTGTACGTGCCCAGCGCAGTGGCACTGAGTACGCCGCCACCGTCTTCCGGAACGGGCGCCCGCCCCTCCCCCAGCCCCGGGCACCCGCGGCCCTACTCTCCGCGCCTGGGGCTCTGACTCCTCCAGGGACCTTGGACGAGTGGCGTCGCGCAGGGTCTGTCCTTCCGTGTCTGGCTTGTTCACGCAGCACCGTGTCCCCGAGGCCCGTCCACGTGCAGTGGGCGGGGGGGGTCGGCACAGCCTCCCTCGTCCAGGCGGAGTGACCGTCCGCTGCGTGGATGGGCGCTTCTGTCTGTTTATCGCCCTCCGTGGGCACGGGGGCTGCTGGGGTGCCGCTGCGGCAGACATCCGTGTACAAGTGTGCGTTGGAACGCCGGCTCACTTCGGGGCATGCGCCTGGGAGTGGACGTGCTGGGCACACCTGGTCTGGGTGCCGCCGGCCCCGCCCCCGTCTCTCACGAACGGGGTGTGTGAGAGCAGGTGCGCCACGGCCAGCGGAGGGCCTGCGGGCCGTCCCAGGCACTTTGCGGACTTCTGGGACGTCGCCCAGGTTGCCCACGCGTCGACCTTGAAGGGACGGGCTGTGGTGTGCGGCCCCGCCTGCGGCACAGCCCCCCAGGCTCTGAGGGGGTCAGAGCCTGGTGGCTCCCAGGGGGCCGGGGCTGCCTCCGCCCCTTCCCCCCCCGCCCTGAAGAGCCTTCCTCTGGGTCAGCTGACTTGCTTCTGCTGCAGCAGGAGGCTGCTGGCCAGCGCGGACCCTGGGCACATGGTCACGGTCATGCCCAGCATCCGTTCTAGCAGGGAGGGTGCCTGAGACTCGGGGAGTGCTTGGGTGCTGTTGCCATGGTTACCTCGAGGGCTGCCCAGACTGGGAGCGGGGCTTCAGGCAAAAGGGGCCTCTGAAAGCCAGAAGGGCCCGGGCAGCAGCTCGCCCGCAGGCTGCAGCTTAGGCAGAGCCGTGTCACCCCCCCACACGAGAGAGCGGAGGACAGCAGGCTGGCCACCCGGGATGCACACACGGGCACGAGGGGTGTAGGGGGGTGGCTCCATGTTCAGGCGGCTCCCCCACAGACGGGGCCGGAGGGCCGGACTCGACGGTGCTGGGACGAGACAGGACCGTGGGGCCAGGCGGGGCCGTGCAGGACAGCAGGACCAGGGCGGGGGAGGACACGGCCGGCCACTCGGCCGACAGGGACGCTCGGGAGGCGGAAGCCGTGCAGGGACAGAGCAGAGCCGCCCAAGGGGGGGTGAGCCCCCAGCCACCGCAGGGAGGCACATGGGCAGGCGGGCGGCCTCTCTCCAGAAAGCCGTGGAAGGCTGGCCGAGAGGACCTCCCTGCTCCCTGGCGGCTCTGGCTGCCCAGACTGACCGTGAACTTAGCGGAGGTGCTCGAGGGCGGGCAGCGAGGTGGCCAGCGGACCCCACGTGCTGCAGTAGCCCAGGTGCCGGGCACGTGTGGCTGTTGCTCGGGGACCAGAGGGAGAGGCTGGCCGCCAGTGGCTGTGACCGAGCAGCAAGAGGCCACTGTGCGGTGTGCTGCCCGGCGGCAGGTCGTCGGCCGACTCAGGACTCGCGGAGCAGAGGTCGGGGTGTCGCGCCAGCCCCCCGGGGACAATTATCCCACATAGGCAGCAGCCGGGGTAGGCGGTGGGGTTGCACCTGGGCGGGCTGCTGCTGGGGGCCGCGGCCACCCCACTGAGGTGCAGATGTCGTTGAGGAAACGGCAGTGGGGAGCTGGGCTCCACGGAGACTGTTTCTGAGACAGGGGGTCCCTCCCCCTCCCACCCTCTTTCTGTCCAAAAACTTCGCTCAGGGACTCGGAGCTGAAGAGCTGAGTGGCCAGGACGCAGCCGGGCATTGCGGGGGGTGTCCATCTGCTCCGGTCCCTTCCCCCCTCTGAACACCCCTCCCCCACCCAGCATGCCCGGGGTAGAAGGGTCTGGAACCATGGGTCAGGCAGCAGAGAACAGGGGGCCGTCTCTGCGCAGAACCTTACAGGTGTTTCATTCTTCAAACACCTCCTGACACAGGAGTCGGGGCTCAGGTTCCCGCCGCCCCGAAGTCGGGACCCTGCCTCCTTAGTGTGGGGCCTCCGGGAGTCTCCTGGGACAGGCGGGGACGACCTGGAGCCCCTCCCTGCACTGAGCAGACCGCATCCATCTACCTGCCCCTCTCGTTCACTGACCCACCCTCCCGTCCACACATCTACCTACCCACGTGCCCACCGTCCACCCCTTCTTCTGTACATATCCACCCACCACCCCTCCAGCCACCCACCTGTCCACCCATCTCCATCCATCCACCCATCCATCCACCCATCCACTCACCCACCCATTTATCCATCCACCCATCTCCATCCATCCATCCATGCATCATCCATCCACCCATCCACCCACCCATCATCCACCCACCCATCCACCCATCCATCCATCTATCCACCCATCCATCCATCCATCCACCCATCCATCCACCCACCCACCCATCCATCCACCCACCCATCTATCCATCCACCCATCCACCCACCCACCCACCCATCCATCCACCCATCCACCCATCTATCCATCCACCCATCCACCCACCCACCCATCCATCCATCCATCCACCCATCTATCCATCCACCCATCCACCCGTCTATCCATCCACCCATCCACCCACCCACCCATCCACCCATCCACCCACCCATCTATCCATCCACCCATTCACCCACCCACCCCTCCAGCCATCCATCCACCCACCCACCCACCCATCCATCCATCCATCCATCCACCCATCCATGCATCATCCATCCACCCATCCATCCACCCATCCATCCATCCATCCATCCAATCATTCAGCTTGTGTCCAGCCAGCCAACCAACCAGCCCTACTAGCCAGCAGTCTACCCAATCATCCATCCATCCATGCACCCATTTATTCACCCATCTATCTGCCCCTATACCCATTTATCTGTCCACACAGCCCTCCACGTGCCCACCCACCCACCCACCCATGTAGCCATCCACACCCACCATCCGCCCACCCACCCCTGCTCCCAGCCATCCGTTCGCTCACCCACCCACTGCCCACCCGGCCGCCCACTCCCCTAACCACCTGTTACTGCACCCGCCTATCCATCCACCTGTGTAACCAAAATCCGTCACAGCCTGACTGCCCAGGGCGCTGAGGACGGGGAGGGACACCAGACAAGCGCAGGCTCCGACTTCCTGCAGATTAGAGTCGATTTAGTGACAGTAACGACGAGGTTAACCAGTAAACAACCCAGAGGGTCCCCGCTGCGGTCGGTGCTACTCGGCAAGTCCTTGGGGCTGAGCTGCGGTCCTCGGGCGGGCGGGGGCAGGGGCAGGGGGCGGGCCAGCGTTACACCAAGCACCAGGGCAGGTCTCTGCAGCTGGGGCTCGTCCGTGGGGGGGCAGGAGGTCCAGCCAGTGCAGAGGCATGGAGGGGAACCGGGGACCCGGTGCAGGGCAGCGAGAGCGGGAAGACCGTCGCGAGGAAGACCTTGTGCTCCGTGCGAGGTGTCCACGTGCCTTTCTCACACTTGGGGTGCGGGGGATGGGCGGCTTGGAGCAGGAGAGTGACGTTATTGGACGCCCCTTGCCAGAGGAAAACAGACGGATGGACACGTGGACACTCATTATGAGACAGACCGTCGCTGCATCCTGTCCTGGGGG